CCTACGGTGATAAAATTATCTACTACGACACATTTGATTCAACTAAAAAACACCGACGCAGTCCAAACTAGTTCCAAAACTAGTCATCATTTACATAATCATGGTACAATGGGATGGGAAATTGTGTTATTGAAATGGGAGAAGTGAAAGAAAGGAAAGAGTTTGATTGACCAGTTAAAAAAGAAAAAATAGTGGGGAAATAAAAGGAAAGTAAATGTTTAAGGGATATTTTGTAATACTTTTTAAATCTGTAATACCTTTTATACTCATTTATTTCTTTGATCATCCAGGTTGGACAAACATTTTTGTGGTTTCAGTGGTGAGATTTAGAATTTTTCTTCATATTCCAATTTTCTGATTTTATTTCTATAATTCTTCATTAATACTAAATGTCCAAAGAATAATTCTTTTTCCTTCTCTCTAGGGATATTTTATTGATGGAAGTAGGATTTTTAACTGTATTAGTTGCTCCTTTTGGTCATGTTCCCTCAAGGTACGCTTAAAATGTGACTTCTAATATTAACGTTATTGAAATCTGCTTCATCGACTGCACCATCATCAACGCCACTTACTGTAGTTTTCGCAACTYGAAAAATGCAGTAAACATAAAGTTTGGTATTTTACTGATGTGTCCAATGTCTGATGTTAGTGAAAAAGCCATTAATGATGTGTGCTTTAAAGTAAGCATGTTCACAGAGGGAGGAAACATGGAAGAGACCAAAGAAGCTCTGCAAAGCCCAGAAATTGAAATCATTTTATTTTAAAAAATTCCTTAATATTAAAACCATAAACATTTCTCTCTTAGTTCATCATTCAGTCATCATGACGGCATCACATTTTGGCTYGTGAAATGGYTGGCATTTCGTTTAATGTTCTGTTCAGGTGTCGTYAAGCTGAACAGTCAATGTCCAACCTGGTGGGGCCTGACGGCGTTAGATTGGCACTACGAATCTCAGGTAGGAATTCCCATTCTCTTTCTCTCCTCTTCTCATTCAATAACCAGTCCATCTGTTAATAATAATAATAATAATAATAATAATAATAATAATAATAATTAGTAATAATAAAAT